CCCCCCCCCAAGTGGAATTAAGCAATCTTAAATTGAAAGACCCGTCCCGGTCCAACTTGCCGCTACCGAATAAACTAAACGTTTCCCCCCTCTCCCTCCAATTATTTCTCCTTGCCCCTGACCGACATCCGCGGCATCGCCGTTTCAGCATACGCCTAAGCTCTCTCTAGTCTGGCGTCTGCACTCACAGTCTCGGCCTCCTGATCATCCACTTACTCCTGTCTTTTTATGCTGTCTCTCTCTGTTCCCCAATCATCTCTTCTGACCTGCTCCCATCTCGACATCGCATTGCGTGGACTCGCAACATGTATGCCTCTCAACAGCCTGCTACCTACGCCTACCCACCTGGCGTGACGCTGGGCCCCTCAGGTGCGTCATCTTGCTGATTCTTGTTTTGTCCCCTGGTCCTGTCCTCCTTCCAGGATTCTTCGTTATCTCCCAGCCGTTTCACCTCTAGCGGGGCTTCCCCTTGGTCAGAGTGTTATCTGTCCTGTGCCGCCTGCTTTTCTATTTCAGAACCGTGCTTCCCCAAAGTAAAAGTACCAAAAAACTAACCTTGATCTGTCTGCTGCTCGTCTACAGGCTCACCTGTCCAACAAGCTTTCGGTCCAGCCCCCGTCAATCTGGGCTCCAACAATCCCTTTCGGAATCGTGCTCTGTCGCCTTCCGCCAGCTCTTTCGCATCCGCCAGTGGCCAATCTGAACGCCGAGTCTCTACGAATCCTTTTGACGACGACACGCTTTCGCCGCAGTCGGCCCCCGTGATAGGGTCAAACCATGGTCTCCCCAGTCGAGAGACAAGACATGACGTCCAACACTCGTGAACTCTTTGTATGCTCATTTCGCACCCCTGACCACTGTCGCTCATCGGGACTGACCCAAAACTACGTGAAATAGGAGAACCTTTCCGTAAACCCTGCTCCCCAGAACACTGGTTACAGACAAGCTCCCCCGCGCCCGGACAAGCCCGCGCCCAACGGATACCCGACGAACCGTGGACCTCCGCCGAGGGAACGCCCAGACCGTCGCGACAAAGACCCCTTAGACATCTTTGCCGATCCCCCGAAGACGAGCAGTGGCGGAAGATCGGGGTACAGAGAGCGGAGGCCTCGCCGGAACTCAGAGTCATCCATCATGGAACGAACCCCCAAGCTTGTGGATACTGAGGACGAGAGACGGCGTCGCGAGCGACGACGCCGGGAGCGGGAGGCTCGCCATAAAGATGGAAAGGACAGCAAGGAGTCAAAGGATGGAAAGCCTCGTCCGTCTAAAAAGTCCAACTACCACATGGACATTATCGATAAACTGGACGTGACCAGTATTTATGGCACTGGAAGTGAGTTGGAGCCCATTGCTATCTGGCAGAAGCACTTGCTAACGGGAGTTGTCTGGTATAGTGTTCCATCACGACGGGCCGTTCGATGCCTGCAATCCTAACCGTAACCGCAAGGGCTTGCGTACGGCACCCATGCAGGCGTTCCCCAAGGACTCTGCCAACATGGCCCTTGGAGGCGCAGGGCCAGTCAACTCCAACATTGATCTGAACCTGTTCCACGGGACCATGGACGAAGGCTACAATGACTATTCTACCAGCGCCGCGGTGGACCCGCGTAACAACAAGAGCGAGACCGCGAACTTTGATCCAACCACTCGCATCGAACCTGTCCATGGAGCGGAGAGCATGGGTCTGGGAACTAGCACGTTCCTGGATGGTGCCCCGGCTAGCCGGGCAGACATTCAGCGCCGTGGAAGTGGGAACGAGAACGGTGGAGCTGGTCCCAGCGGGGGAGGCTTGCAGCGCAAGAAGAGTTTGGCCCAAAGACTCCGGGGAATGAACAAGCCCTCAAATCCCCGAGTGGTCTCTCCCGAGTCCTCATACACCCCGGGTGTGTCTACCGGCTCTAGTCACATCGGAACCATCCGCGCCAATGAGAAGAATCCCTTCTTCCAGGATTATGATGATGCTTGGGACAAGAAGGGAGCCCAGATCAACATGTCTGAAGAATCACGTGGTACCGTAGGTACACGAGCCCGTTCTTCCAGCAGCCCCAAGCAGAATACCGGGTTGGAGCGGAGGTTTACCAACGAACGGACCAACACTGGACTCGATGAGGGCAAGCCCAGCGGCGGCGGGTTTATCAACCGCATGAAGAGTTTGAGAAAGCCCCGCCCTGAGCGGCGCATCAGCAACGACTGAGCGACTTGAGTGATTTTGATCAACGGTCATTTCCAACTCCGTTGCTTGTGTTTGACGCAGATGACGAGGGAAGTGCGGAGAGGTGGAGAACGCTCTGGAAGCATCCATCTTGCACTCCCTTTAGTGTCTATTTCGTATAGAAGATAGGCAGAATGAGGCATATGATGAGATAAAGCATCGTGAATCGCAGGCTAGCGTAAAACGACATATGATAATAATATCGTCTGCAGCGTTACCTTGGGATTTCCGACGCATTACTCAACGCTCACCCAGAGCGACTGTTTTAGCGCGCTCTAAAGCGACGTACTCGACTCCAATACAAACGGTTTGGCGAGGCGGTGATGGGAGTGGTTGGTGTTTCTTTGACTGGTAAACCACACGGTGTACGGGACGCGAAAGGACAAGGCGTTGATGTGAGCATTACTCTTTGTGTGCATGGGAATCGGACCTGTGTTGGGACCGACTGGGCTTTGCTGTTTCGTGCTTCACTTGTTTGATGGGGCTGTTTGAAGGCGATGTGTCTTTCAGCTGAATACATACCTTATTATGCTTGTACTGGCCCTCTTGCATCTATACTATCACTCTAGCCATAACCGTAGGGCGTAGACCAACCCACTCATTTAGCTTTTCCAGAAGTTCATTTACTCATCTTCACACAGCATGTCTTAGTATCACTAAGTGCCTGCGATGGCGTAATGATAGACCGTCACCACAAAGGCCCTGTTTGTCCAAGAAAGAGGGCTCCCAACCTCTTCCTGGCATTCTAGGAACTATGGGTATGAACCCTATTCCGGGCACCTATTCTACCCAGAGCCACCCAACAAAGAAAGTTCTAAGAGAAATTGAATTTCTTCTGGAATCTGGTCATTGGACCGGACCCAACATAAAGTATATCCATGATATAGAAGAAGAGGAACATAGTCCTAGAAGATTGTTTCAAATACGTCTATAGATAGTTAGATCTAGAGCTAGCTTTATTTAGGATTACTTCCTATATAGAAATCATAGAAAGTAATTACATGAAAGGTAACAGGAAAACAAACTAGAGGTTTAGGTCCTGGAGGCGTTCGGCCGAAGGTATGTATGTGTATGAATCATGTCGTAAGTCTTGCGTGTATGGAGATTTTCTGGGTTCTGTATAAGGATCTGTTCAGATTTGACTGGATTCTATTGCAAAACTAGAGAATTTATATGCTAGGCAGGGAGTATCATCGACATAGCTGCTATATGTATTTAGGCGGCTGCGCCAGATTAAAGATTATTAATTGAGTAAACTGGATTAGTATTATCAGATGTAGACAGGTCAAAAGATAGAATCACTGTCAATCCGAATCTGCAACCACGTATTACTTGTACTACTACTAGACAAGTACACCAACGCAGAACAAAAACTTACTCAATAAATACTTAGTTCAGTTAGGTATATCCGAGCTAGCTAACACTCTAGCAAGTAAATAAACAATCCACATCCAACAACAACAACAACAACAACAACAACAACAACAGGAATTTGAACGCGCCCATTCCCGCGCACACACATGATCACATTGATTAACATCATGATGAAAATAAAGATATAAACCCCCATTGAACCCGCAACTCCCATAACGTGACATGTGATGTGTATGATCATATCACGACCAATCACTCATATTCATTATGCAATAAACAACCATCCCGTATGGTGGAAAATCAACCCGCAAACCCTAATGACCGAATAAAAGGAAGAAAGTGGGAAAAGAAACATGAGGCGGGTAAAGTTTTACCGCGCCCTAGTAGAAGACTGCATGCGCGGCTTAAACGGATCAGGGGCGGGAATGCCTGCTCTCCGCTTGGATTGGGGCTTGGGGCGGGAGAGTGTGTATCTATTAGATGCCTTGTTAGTACACTTCAACCTTTTAAAGGCATGGGTGGTTATGGTAGGTACGTACTTGGCAAACGCCCTGGACAGAGCCTTCTTGCAGCTGATTTTCTGGCTACCGATGAAGGAGTCGACGGTGACGGCGATGGCACGGTCGATATCCTGTGCGGAGCAGTATTCTGAGAGTCGCATCTTGCAGAAAGATTCGGCGATACGCATGATGGCTTCGAGGTGACGAACCTAGATGGATTATTAGTCTTTTCTTGTCTCCTGATATGTGGTTAAAAGTAATGGGGAGGGAAGCATACAGTGATGGGGTAAGCGCCGGTGGCCAGAGATTCGCGTCTCATATCGGCGAATAGACGGGCGATCTTGTCTTGGTCGATCTGGTAGAGCTTGGGGTGGCAGCGTTCACGGGCGTAGAGGATGTATTTGCGGAGAAGTTCTTGAGGGATTTCGCCGTCTTTCTCGTCTTCGCGTCGTTGCTTCTCGGCATCCCGGGTAGCGAGTTCTTCGTCGGTCAGGGGCAGGCGTTGCTTGGTCTTCTTGTCAATACGGTAGCCATCTTCGTCGATGGGGTGTCCGTCTGCGTTGATCAGGTTGCCGTCTTGGTCACGAAGGGGACGGGCCGGGTTGGCGCGGTGGTGGGATTCGATGACGAAGTTGGCGAGGCGTTCATCCTCGCTTGGGTCAACCAGATCGCGGACGACGCAGAGGATGTCGAAACGGGACAGGATGGGTTCGGTGAGTTGGACGTTCTCGGAGAAGGGTGCGCTGCTGTTGTAACGGCCGCCGATGGGGTTGGCGGCGGCAACGACAGCACAGCGAGCCTGCAGGGTGGTCACGATACCGGCCTTGGAGATGGAGATGGTCTGTTGTTCCATGGCTTCGTGGATGGAAGTACGGTCCTGGTCGTTCATCTTGTCGAACTCATCGATCAAGCAGGTACCGCGGTCTGCAAGAACGAGGGCTCCTCCTTCGAGGGTCCATTCGCTGGTGAGGGGATCGCGACGGACGCTGGCTGTCAGACCGACGGCACTGGCACCCTGACCGGTGGCGAAGACGGCTCTGTGGGCAGTCTTCTCGGTGTATTTGAGGAACTGGGACTTCGCGGTACCGGGGTCACCCAGAAGGAGGACGTTGATATCTCCACGAATGGACATCTTGCCTTGGGCTTCTTTGCTGACACCACCGAAGAGAGAGAGGGCGATGGCGGTCTTGACGTCCAGGTGGCCGTAGATACTAGGGGCAACGGAGCGAACAATCTTATCGACAATCTCAGGGTCCCTGGACAGGGCCCGAATCTCGCGCTCATCCTCTTCGGTCAAGTGGAAACCAGCCAGCTGGTCGTGGGACTTGACGACATGGTTGGCCTCAATAATCGTGGCGAACACAGGGAAGCCGTTCTTGTTGTTGAGCTGCGCATCGTAGCTGTTCCGGTAGATTCCCGTCACCTCGATTTCATCACCTGGCTTGGCTGAATCAATGAGATCAGCGAGAAGAACGACCTCGCGCTGGCGGGGGAGTCGACCGGCAGGGACGGAGCCCGGAGATTCTTGGAGAGTGAGTTTCTGGTAGTTCCGGTAAACGGTCTTTTCCGAGTGCACAGAGAAAGGTCCCTTGGACTGGCAGTTCTGGCAGTACGAGATCTTCACTTCCGCACTGGCTTCCTGCTGGAAGGGACCAAGAGTGATGTTACACTTTCCGCAAACGAACATGACATATTTCAACTGCGGGAAGACACCGGTACGGCGAGTAACAACACCGCTGACGCGGATAAGGCAGTTGAGATGGGACTGGCGGAGTTGACGAAGGGTATAGGAGACAGGGAGATCGGTAATGCGGACATGAATTTCGTTGTGAATATCGTGGTATTGAGGGTAGTGGAAGAGAGTGACATCAAGAGCGACTTGGTCGAAAACTTTCAGCACTTCAGTGGGCTCGTTGGCCAGGAAGTATGCAAGAGCCGCTTTTGTTTCCAGTAGATGGGCGTAAGAGACTTCGAGGGATGCCGAGTTCACCTCACCAAGGGTCTTGATCTTGTTTCCGTAGACCGAAGCACCGGCAGGGTCGGTGTACTCTGTCAAGAAGGACTTGAATTCTCGGTAGATGGAGCGAAGGACTTGGGGCTGCAGGACCCAGTCCGTAAGGTTAGAAGCCTTGACATCAGTCAACTCCTCCAGGGAGAGCTCTTCCATGGCATCATCACCCATCTCGACGTCGTCCCGATCTTCATCGTAGTGGTGTCTCCGGCGACGGGGTTGACGAGTGAGATCTAAGTCACCATCTTCGTCATCCTGCAAGAAAGCCGCAGGCATGCGACGGCGACGTTCAAGTTCACGGTCTCTCTTGTTCATGCGGGCTTCGAGTTGACGACGAGTTGCGATATCGAGTTCTTCATGGTCGCCGTCATCGTCGATGTATTCTCCTCTGTACTGGTCGTCTGCTGTGCTTCGATAATCTTTCTCGAAGTTGTCTCCAAACAGATCGATTCCGTCCTCGTCTTCAGCCATCTCATCGATATCATCAATGTCACCCAGGAGCTCTGCTTCCTCATCGCGCTCGTTGTCATCGTCGTCGAAAGGAAGCATGGGAGGGGAAGAAGGGGGGGCTATCGCCAGCGTTAGTATCAGGAACCTGCCATTCACCACAGCATGACTTACGACTTGAGGGGGGAACAACCGATGAGGTCTCATCATCGGGCTCTCTGGATCTCTTACGGCGACCCAGGTTCCCTAGGCCGCGGTTTGCAGCAGAATTGCTGGGACGGAGTGGTGAACTGAGAAGACATTATTAGTATTCCGAGTGTTTTGAGGGGCAACCAAACGAGGTAGTTCCAAGCAATATTGACAATGAATGGTGAGGACATTACATACCTCATTTTGTGTGGTGTTCAGTCTGACAGGCGGGGAGTTGGAAGGGGCAGACTGAGGGAAGGGAAAGAGACAGCCGTGCGGAGGGTCTTTTTTTCTTTTCCGTTGGGCGACGCAGGAGACGAAGGGCGTCCAAGCTGAGAAGATCCTGGACTTGGCGCCGAACGCGTCTTGAGACGCGCCGCCGACGCGTCCGTTTTCAATTAAACCCCGATTCGGAAATGCGACCCGCTCTGAGCCCAGCGAAAAGTGGAATATGCATCGTGGATACGCTCAACTTCTGGGCAGTGAAAAATGGAGCTCTTGGTACGTCATATAAAATAGTTCATTTTGGGGTTACTTCTTACAGTCTAGATTGATTTTCACCGCGGCATGTACAGTGGGGTGGTTCTGCAGAAGCTGCCTGTACTGTAGAGGGATTCCAACTGCGCTTATACTTAGCCACCAGGAGCATTATAAATTAGCACCAAAGACCTGTAACAAAGATAACAAACAGAATCCTATCATCTTAGGCTTTTATACCCTTGGAAAAAATTATCTTCAGTCTATCAATTAGAAGTCCCATCATGGTGGACTTAGAAAAGAATACCAACCACGTTGGTGCAAACACGGCAAACACTTTACGGTTGCGCGACGGCGCGTTACCACCAGCGCCGCTCAGCCTTCTCCGTATGCGCAACCATCACCTATCGTCCATTCTTCAAACCCCTATCAAGTTCTTTAGATAATACTCACATCTCCTGTTGTTTCTATATCGCGTGACGGATATTCAACAGACATGGCCAACACCGAGTCGGGCGACTCAATCCTCAATGCCGGACAGGCACTGAGCGGACAGACTACCGCAGGGCGCCGCGAGAGCTTCAGCTCTCAAAACTCGCAGACGGCGAAGGAGTGAGTGTTCATTCATCTGGAACTCGCATGCACTGGTATTCCATTGCAAATTTTGTTGCACAGGCAACTGACACCTCCATAGATTCATCGAATCCCAGATTCGACTTGAAGCCGATGCGCGTGAAGTCCTTCCATATGTAAGCTTACCTTTCTACTTATCGAAGAGAGAAAAGTGAAGAATCAGAAACACTAACACCTATGCAAGTCATTCGACACTTGTACACAAGACTTAGGTCCCCTTCGCCAATCTCTTTTTGCCTGCCTCACCTGCAACCCCTCCACCTCCGAAGAGTCATATACCCCCGCTGCCGTGTGCTACTCCTGCTCTATCTCCTGCCATGGTGAACACGATCTCGTTGAACTATTCAACAAGCGGAACTTCGTCTGCGACTGTGGAACAACCCGCATGCCCGCCACCTCCCCATGCACCCTTCGGAATGATCCCAAGACCGGCGCGAAAGGCGTGCACTCAGAACAGCCTCACCAAGGCAACAAATACAACCACAACTTCCAGAACAAGTTTTGCGGATGCGGCGAGGACTATGACCCGCATAAGGAACGCGGTACGATGTTTCAATGTTTGGGTCTGGGCACAGTAGAGACAGGTGGTTGTGGCGAAGACTGGTGGCATCCGGAATGCCTGATCGGATTGCCGCGCGACTGGTACAAGGGTGCAAAGAAAGATGGAGCTGCCGATGGAGAGGCAGCCGACGAGGACGAGGAAGAAGAGACTCCTCTCCCTCCCGGATTCCCCGCGGAAGAGGACTTTGCGATCTTCCTCTGCTACAAGTGCGTTGACTCGAATCCCTGGGTAAAGCGCTACGCAGGAACACCGGGCTTCCTGCCTCCAGTATACAAAGAAGGCGGACTCGCCGAACCCTCAGAGGAGGACACCAAACCTACCACTACAGAACAAACAACCCAGTCCACAGAACCAGAGCAGCCCAGCAACCCCAAGAAACGCAAAGCCGACGACAGCGCCGACGAAGAAGGCGACCCGGCTGCGAAACGACCAAAGGAGGAGCCTAAAGAGGAGCCCAAACCCGATACGGACGACACTACTACTACCACCATCACCACCACCACTTCCGAATCTAAACCCACCACCACTCAAGATACCGACAAGCCCATCACCACCGAACCCTCCTTTACCTCCTCCAACCCATCCGCACCCAAACACACCCACCTCCCCACAACACCCCCAAGCCGCACCTTCTCCCTCTTCCTGAAAGACGACTTCCGCGACCACTTCTGCCGCTGCCGCGACTGCTACCCACACCTAGCATCGCATCCACAACTCCGCGAAGAAGAAGAGACCTATGAACCGCCCATGTCCGAAGACGGCGACGGCGACGGCCCCAACGGCGGAGGCAGCACCGGCACGGGCAGTCTTCTCGATCGGGGCGAAGCAGCGCTGAGCAACATCGACCGAGTGCGCGCCATCGAGGGCGCAATGGTGTACAACCATCTGCGCGATAAGGTGAAGGAGTTTCTGAAGCCGTTTGCGGAGACCGGGAAGGCGGTTAGTGCGGAGGATATCAAGTCTTATTTTGAGAAGTTGAGGGGTGATGAGCAGTCGATTCGGGATGCGGCGTCTTCTGCTGCTGGTGGGGGTGGGGGTGACGATGGTGATGGTGGGGATGGAGGTAATCGGAGAGAACAGAGTGGTATGTAGATCTTTCCCCCCTTCTGCGTTTGACTTGTTGGGGGGGGAGGGAATGGTTTGGTTGCTTTGGATGTGGATTTGCTAACTGGGGTGATCATTTTCAGGATATTGATTTTGTTATGTTATATATGGGTTTAGTTGATGTTACGGGTACAGGATGGGATTGGGGTGCTATCTATGGGTTGGGGAGGGCGTCACGATTGGGTCTCTTGCATTTAGTCTCAAGATAATCGGCATATTCAGAAGGATATCAAGATTGAACACATAAGATACCGTGTCACGAATTTGGAGTTAGCTCATATCATTGAATGCATGCTTGCTAGTTCAAAGTGTTCCTGATCTCTAGCTTTGTGCATGAACATAAGAAGCATCGCAATATAACAGAAAACGCCAGTTTCAAATGCATATCTCGAGATCCGCACAAAATGCCACCCAAGTCCTAAACGCCTTGTAATCACAAAATCCTTCAAAACAAACGAATAATTATCACTCTTTCAAGCGCTTAGTTGCCCTTCCCAACAGACTATCATCAGGCAATCCGCTGCGCTTCGTGCCAGGTAGGCTACCAGAGCGAATATCGTTGTCATCCTGTGTCACCCGGCGATGAGGATACTTGCCCTCAAATCCCTCGAAACAATTGGCGGATATAGGCCCCCCGTTCTTAAAGTAGGGATGCTCGAGAGCTTCTTGCGCGGTGATTCTCTTGGTCGGGTCGTATTCCAGTAGGCGTGACAGCAGATCGAAACCATCTGCCCCGGGTGTGCCAGCACTCGAGTTGGCGGAGTACCCGTTGTTCTTCAGGCAACTCTGATACCAGCCTTCCAAATTAGATGATCTGTTGAAATGCCCAGGTGCACGTGACATTGCCAATGACTGCAGCTGCGAATATTCCGGCATGGACACGATGCCAGGCCAGATCTCCTTGGTTGGAAGCCCCATAATCTCGATGATCTTCATCATCTGATTGCGCTGGAATGGCACCGTCTTTTTACTGTCCATCTTGGCTTCCTCACCCTTAAAGATGGGGCGGAGCGATAGCAGCTCCGCAAAAATGCACCCGACGGCCCACAAGTCAACAGCTGGTGTGTAGTGACGACTACCCATCAAGAGCTCGGGGGCACGGTACCAGATGGTGACGACAACCTTGTCTCCAGAAAATAGAGAGTTGAGTGGCTTGTAGAAGAGACGGGCAAGTCCCAAGTCTCCGATGCGAATGGCACCACTTGAGGTCACCAAGATATTTGCTGGTTTAAGGTCCCGATGCAGTACCCAGTTGGTGTGGAGATACAGTAGGCCATTGAGCAGCTGAAACAGGATCGACCTCACCATCAAGGCCGGAATGGCGTGCCTTTGCGGTTGGGTATGATGATGAATAATCTGGAGCAGATCATGCTCGGTGTACTCAAAGACCATGAAGATACACTTGTCCTCCAGGATGATTTCTGCCAATTGCACTACATTGGGATGGTCCAATTCTGAGCACAAGGCCATTTCTCGGATGGCCGACTGGGAAAGACCGGTATACTGAATTATTTCGCCTTCTTTATCCGGCTTGAACCTAAAGCGGGTGAGTCAGGTGACGATGTAAATATGCCAGGATGGGATGCTAACTTTTTAATCGCGAATTCCCCCTTCTGGCCATTTTTGCCAATGGCCTTGTAGACCCGGCCATAAGTACCACTGCTGATAAATCCCACGATGTGGTATCTATCGCGCACACGGACTTTGCTGGTGTAACCAGAGCCGGGAGGCTTTCTCGCATCTAGACTCTCTTTATAGAGGAAGGGTGTCAGCAGAAAGACCATGCACTTGCCCACAACCAACGTAAGAATTTAACAGCCAATCAAATTCCACGAGCAAGGATCAAGGGGGAGTGAATGAAAAAGTCCGAAAGACTAAAAGGAATAGGGGTCCAGATAAGAGCCAGGGGGGGAAAAGGAGGATGGGAAGGATGAGGCGAGATTGTGCAGCCTCTATAACCGGCCGAAAAGCGGCGGGTTTAGTCTGGAGAGGGAAAGCCATTACCACGTGGATAAAACCCGCCGAGAGAATTATAGAACGGGAAGCTCCTTCCAAACATCATGGAAAAAGACAGACAGAACAGCCGTTAACAGGCGTGGAGACAGGGACTGTTCCAGGGCATTTAACGATTATATAAGGAAAGAGAAATAGATCTGATAGCAGCGCAAGGTTCAACCAAAGTACATGGTGACGGAGCGGGTTCAGACAGCGAGATCAATAGAAGAATAGAAGAAAGTTGGCAACACGGGCGAAAAGAGGGTGCTCGGAAGGGAAAGACAGAAAAGGTGTCAAGTCAAGTTAAGCAGAGGCAGAGTAACAGTAACCGGTATTACCATCAACAGCAGCCTGCAGGCTCTTCTTCAGAGACAGACTTTGGCTGACGGTGGCCGCAGCGGGCCTGGAAGTCGTACTTAACGGGCCGGACGAGGAAGGCGGGTTTGTCAGACTCATGGACGAGGTGGAGGCGACCGGAAAAGAGTCAGAGTCACAGACAGCGCGAGAGAGATGATGATTAGTTCGTTAGGGGAAATGGTCAGGTAAGAGAGGGTACTTTTAGGCTATCCGTGGAAACTGCAACGCTGCGATGGAGTCCGGGAACCATGCGCGGAGACACTGATCTCCACCACTATGGGGAAAGCATACAGCGGACAAGAAAATGTTCCAACAGCAGCCTGCAGGAGGAGATGGTCAGTGAGTTGAGACGGACCAACACGCGCCGATGGAGGAAGTGGAAATCAAGAAAGGGAATCAAAAGCCAAAAAGGCAAAAAAGAAAGGGAAGCACCGCAAAGCCAAAAGCCAAAAGCCAGAGAGCCCGAGCCCGAGCCAAAGAGTGAGTGAGTGAGTGAGGCTGCATCGGAGGGAAATTGGCTGACTCATCACACTTGGACCCTCCCCTCCTCATCCAAGCAATTCCAATCCATCCATCATTCCATCGACAATTACACGACAGTAGAATAGAAGTACTCTTTGTAGGATGTCTGGAAGCTGTCTGGCTTGTGTTTACAAATGACCTCCTTCTTAATCTGTAATTGTTGTTCTCCGTACTTTATTTATTTGCCTTAAACATATCATCTGCAAGCCCTCCACTGCACTCACTCCTTTTGATAAGACTCCTCCCCCTGGATTCCCCCCGATAACGCGGAGTTTCCTTGTCCCGAATATAGACGCCCATCCGCAACGTCATCAACACGCTGCTCTCCGGCTGACTGCCATTCTTCCGTTCAACCAGGTGCAATGACCGGGTAACAGCAGATCTGTCCCCCATTTACTGACCGAGAGCTCTGTGGATTAGTGAGTCCCCTTCGTACTCAACAACATCTCAATCACAATCATGGTCTCACCAGAGCCGATCCGATCTCGGGTCACGCCATACTTGGTTTACCTCGTGTTTATCACAACATTAGGACCACTCCAATTCGGTTATCATCTGGTGAGTATTACCTTCCCACATCTAAAACCTCAAATCCCACTCATACTAACGCTTATTATCCGACAGGCCGAACTTAATGCCCCTCAGGCGGTGATCACCTGCGAGCGGAAGCGTATCCATATCTCCACCAATGCCGTCTCTCTACCACAATGTATCCCAATGAACGCTTCGCAATTCGGCCTGGTGTCATCAATCTACACCCTTGGCGGACTCTTGGGAGCCCTGCTGGCAGGGCCAGTCGCCACCAAACATGGTCGTCTCTTTGCTCTGCGAGCAACCACTCTCTTCTTCATCCTGGGGCCTGTGGCTGAAACATGCGCATCCAACATCCCCCTTCTAAGCCTGGGCCGGCTGCTGTCCGGCATTGGAGCAGGAGCTGCGATTGTCGTCGGCCCCATCTACATTTCAGAAATCGCCCCACCCAGCGCCAGAGGTTTCTTTGGTGCCTTCACGCAGGTCATGACCAACGTCGGCATCCTGTTGACCCAGTCCCTCGGATACTTCCTAAGCGAGGGCAGCAAATGGCGAGTGATTCTCGCCATTGCCGGCTTCATCGGAGCCCTCCAGCTCCTCGGTCTCACCCTAGTTCCAGAAAGCCCCACCTGGCTCGCCGAGCACCAAAAGAGCAGTCTAGCCAGACAAGTCCTGCAACGGCTCCGCGGAAAGGACGCAGACATCGAAGAGGAAATCGAAGGATGGCCATCCTCAACAGGCCGACCAACAGATGGTTCCGGCGAAGAGCAATCACTCCTCACGCCACCATCCGGCAACATGCCACCCAAACAGCCCCCCGTCACGATCTTCCACGCCATCACTAACCCATCCTACCGACCAGCCATCATCGCCGTCGTCGGCGTAATGGTCGCTCAACAATTCACCGGCATCAACAGCATCATCATGTACAGTGTCTCCCTATTACAAACCATCCTCCCCACCACCGCCGCCCTCCTAACCGTAATCATCTCCGCCATCAACCTCATCATCACACTCGCCTGCTCCCCGCTCCCAGACAAAATCGGCCGTAGATCCTGCCTTCTCCTCAGCATCAGCGGCATGGGATTCAATTCCATTCTCCTAGCCCTAGGCATCTACTTCAACCAGAAGGTCCTCTCCGCCATCGCCGTCCTTCTCTTCGTCTCCTGCTTCGCCGTCGGCCTAGGCCCCGTTCCGTTCATCCTTGCCTCGGAGCTCGTCGGTCCCGAAGCCGTCGGCGCCACGCAAAGCTGCGCTCTAGCTGCCAACTGGATCGCCACTTTCGTGGTGGCGCAATTCTTCCCCATGTTGAATGATGCTCTTGGCGGCCGTGGCAAGATCTACTGGGTTTTCACCGGCATGGCTTGTCTCCTTGGTGGGTTTATCTATTGGCGTGTTCCGGAGACGAAGGGGAAGACTAGTGCAGATGAGGTCTGGGGGAGAGATGATCGTCGACGACGGGATTGAATTGGTTAGCTGTTGGAGTATGTTATGTTTTGATATTCGTGTATGGCTCGTACACATCAGAGTGCCTACAGTATGAGATATATAGCCTTCAATTTATCGAATCAAGTAAGGGTTTGTAAGGTAAAGTCTGCTTGGGACAGTATGCTGGCCAAAGCTTGCTTTATCTCTCGTCTCGTAGTTGTTACCGGAGCAGCTTATATATTAGCATGCTTGTGATCTCTGTGTGTGTGTGTGTGTGTGTGTGTGTGTGTGTAAAGCTTTCAAGGGCTTGCTGCAAACTATCTGTGTAGAAGATAGACGGCCTAGGCATTCTCAGTAATAATATGAACCAAACGCTTTGAAGTATGAATGCTAATACGACTAGGGTAGTAGTATGTTCTTGGTTAAATATGATATCAAACATGAAACTAACTAGACGATGCAACAAAGTAGACGATATCCCAGTCTAAGCCGCTATGCCTCATACCTGCTTTTCATAATCGAGAGAAACGCACTAGTGATGAATCCGCAAATGCTGACAAACATCTCCATCTTAACGTCAATCATTCATATCCAACATTCCATAGAACATCGTGATAACCACGGCATTTCCACAGAAATACCTGTGATCAGTACTACTTGCTAGCTGACATTTGTGGCGGGGCACGTTGCTGTCCCTCCATTGGCGTAGCAGACTCAGCAGTAGACGTAGTCTGCGACATCAACTGATTTCTGGCCTTTTCGGGGTGCCAATCTGTCTTCGGATGGTCGCATTTGTATTTAGCCTGCTTTAACCATTCATCCCAGGCATGTGTCGACGGAGCCAGGCCTCCGTTTCGGACCCAATCAGTTTCCTTGGTCTCCTTAATAGCCTCCCACAAGGCCATAGTGTAGTTCTTCGTTTGTTCTCTTCTGATTGGCTCCACCTTATATCGGCTCAAATCCCACATTTTCCCTGGGTCCATCAGCAGGGCCAGGCCGAAATAGAGAATATTAAGGATAATGTATGCGACACCGACGGCAATTTGCATCGTCCATCCGCAGTTACTGAAGAGAATGATTGCCGCCATGAGAAGGACTGTGCTGCAGGCCAGGAGTGCTTGGTGGCCTCGGGTCTTGAACACGTAGCGACAGCTTTCTGCTCCACCGTACAGCTCTCTCGTTATCTCTTCAGAGCATTCGACCACTATAAAAGCCCCGTTACGCGTCTTCATGACAATGTCACCCTTTATCACCTTGGTTTTCGTCGTACGGGTAGATAGCCTCGGATACCATTGGGCAGATAGACAAGCAGCGCTGGTAGACAACGACATGGCAGCGAGGGCTACGAGAGCCACGCCGTCGTGGATCATACCCGCCCAGATGAAGAGCCCGATGGTCATTAGGATCGAGATCAACGTCACTAGATTCAACGCACTGAGCGACTTCAAAGGGACGATAACCTCTCTCGTTCCTTCGTCCGGATGTTCTTCTTGCTCAGCATCATTCGGCTTTCCTCCTCTCTCGACATCGTCTTCCTCTGATGCGCTTTCAATGGTGTCCTTCTCTGGTTCCTGATATGTAATTCTGTAGGATTGGAACTCGTACTCCTCCAACTCCTCGAGTTTGTGAATGACATTGGCGAAGAAATTGAGTTCGCTGAAGTGCGTACCAGAATAGACGCCAATGATGGTCACTTCTTTGACAGAGGGAAGCCGGTTGGGCCGATCTGTATCCAGCAGCGATTCCGGTGCGGGTAGGATACGTGGGAACCCGGCAAAAGGGGATGCTGTGATGGCCTGCTTATGCTTTTCGATGGAAGATCCTCCGATGACGGCTAAAAGAGAGACAATATCAAACCGCCAGCTCTGTGCTTCGGAATCGAGCGTTGTCGGGAACCAGCCCATGTCGTCGTGATACTAAATTATGGCAGGAACGTTTCTGCAGAAATAGGACCGAAGAATGCGTTTTCTGCCGACTCACTGCCCATACATGGATATGGAGTGATCTTTCTCAGCAAGATGGTGGGGTGTTTGAGGGGCCATGTAAATGTAGGTCATGGAGAGTTGGCAGAGGTAAGGAGTCTTATAAGCATCAGTGGAGGAACCCAAAGAAAGCACTGCAATTTCTGGCGAGCTGAAGGTCAGCCTTGGCCAATCGATCGACCGCAGCAAAAGCTGCCAGCCACCTGTACTCCATTTGATAGGTGGTGCTCAGGTGTTCGGCTGAGGTTGATTTGCATCCCGAACCGCTACTGCATTAGCGGCCAGCCTAGTCATGGACCCGACTCGGTCGCCCACAGCTTAACTGCATGAAAGCCTCAGTCAGCTGGGGTCGGTAAGTGCATTAAGAGAGGATGGGAGGCGAATCTATCTTCTTTGACGGACCAGTAATCACTGAAAAGGCCTGCAGTCGCCGAGTATCAGTTCTGTGTGAAGTGCTGGAGGAAAGGTGACCAGGAGCGTTGGCAGGGAACTCCAGTGGCTGGTTGCCGAGAGAGAACTGGGAAGTTCGTGGCATCGATAGAGACTCTTAGCACGTAGCAATCCTTTGGCCTATCATAGGAATATATGCTGCAGCTCATCCTAATTTAGGTCGAAGGCAAACAACTAACCATGTCAGAGGTCCCTGTTTGCTGATCAGCCTTGAAGTGATGGCTCGACATGTGTACATTTGACCCATTCAGCTGAGCGACGGTCGCTCCTGCCCTCCCCTTCTCCAAGACACCAGCTTGGGTAGCTATGAGCTGTCGGTCGGCCAGTATATTGGTTTGGAACAGATACGGTGGATAAGTGCCAAGTGGGAGGTGAAGAGGTACTCTTAGTACTGTAGTACCATATCGTGGTAGCACTTGAGTATGGCCAAGAGTGGCCCTTATCTAAGAGTAATAATAACCCCGCCAATGCACAGCACAGCAGCTGAGCCGTGCTGGATGGTCAATGGACATTCCACCTTAAATCAATGGTGGTGGTCTATGATCTACTTCTCGAATATCGATCGCGACGTCGGCGTTAACCCGCAAGTAGCAGTTTGATCCGCAGCAAGGGACTCGGCGAAAACGTGTCGCTTCGGGAGGCCCCAAATTCACCGGAACTGTTGGTTGTCGTACAGATAGAGAATTGATTCCTATTTGGGCCAGATGCTGGAGATGTATCTTGTAGTGTTAAATTACAAAGCGCAGCAAGCCCCAAGAACGTTTCATCAACTGACCAGTCGATTTCATCATTCTTCGAGACATAGATAGATAGCTAGAGCTCCGTTCCCACAAGCATCCATGGTAAATAATCCTTCGGTGAAAACTTCACTGGTAGTGAAGTCAGCCTAAGCACAAACTAGATATCTACCACACATAGCTAAATATCGCCTGTCAAGACCCCTAAAGCTGCAAAGCATTCGACCGATGTGCCGAACCATGGTTCACGCATGAGCAAGTGGAGAGGAGAATGGCCTAATGCCTTTGTTTTTTGAAAGTTCCAAACCAGAATTTCGAGCGATTTCATTTTCACCGCCTTCAGGCAACCACCTTTGATCGGCTTGCATCTGACAGTCCCAATCCTTCGTTAACAGATTAGTATTTATGAAATCATACCCATAGATATTATTCCCTTCCATCCGATCTCTTCGGTTATTCATAGACATGTTGACTTACTCCGGAGGTGGGGGTTACAGGGCTGAAGCAGGGACAGCGAGGCAGTGATCAAAGCCCCTCGTCTTTACCCGAGTGAATCTCTCATGTCGACACATCCATTGGATGATCTACCGGATGGATTCGCTCTCATTGGATCTGAGCCTTGGATGAAACCATGAGGGGTTCTCAGATGACGTTCAGGCAGCAAGAAATGTACTCGGCACAGCATTGATTGGATTCCGGTGTTCCGTACATAGCCAGTGGATGAACTCTCAAAGATGTAGAGAGCATACAAGAGAGAGTTCAAACAGTAGTCGTTGAGTGGTCCAGATGGGAGAGGCTGCTCTCGGAATAGCCACATCCCCATAGCCACAACCCCATCCACTCTCCGGAGTCAATAGTACTAGGCTGCCAGGTTCTATGCCTCTCCATTTCACAAGGCTCATGATCACTCGCCCGGTGGGCCTGAACGTCTATCTACGGACCAGCTTTCCACTTCTTCCATGACCTTCTAGCCCTATGGCATTCGGCGAATTACCAGGGTTCGATATAATAGGAGGATTCTAAAATATCCAGGGCGTAACCGGCGGCTTCCGCAACTCCTCACTTGCTCTTGTTGTTGGGAACTTAGGATTCGTCGCAGCCATTAACCTTGTAGCTTCCAAAACAACAGAATAAATTGAAGTCTCGGAACCCCCGAGGACCAAGAAAGAACAAATCGAGCAGGACTCAAAAAGGGACTGACTGACTGCCTCCACGCCTGCCTGCCTGCCACACTGATTCTAACAGTACGACATTCCCTTTCCCTCCCAGACCCCACTCACAATACGAGTGCTGCTGCAGTTGCTGTTGTTTTCCCTTCTCCTTTTCTCAGACCCAGTCCCGGTCTCCATCGTCGATTATTCTTAGTACTCCTTAGCTTTGATTATTACTATTACTATTATTATTCCTGCCGGCCTGGTTTGTTGTTGTTGGGGTGGTTCCTCCCCCTTCAATTCGTATTATTATTATTATTATTATTCACCCCGTCCAGTCCGTGCATTAAGCTTTCCCTTTCCACCCCATTTTCGTCGTCACCTTTTTGTGGGCGCGATGCTCCTGGCTTTGCATCTCTAAAAAGGTGCCAATTGCAGGGTGGGTGAAGTTCTCCTGTTGATTCCCGTACTGTCCGATCGTGGCTCCGTCTCCTGGTTTCACTGGGCGGACCCAGAGAGAGAGCAACCACTTAGTAGTACTTTAGATCAGCCGGCAGTTCGTCCTGACAGGCAACCACACCGTGACATCTCTCCGTCGCGGTGGCCGGGGAGCTCTGGCCGCTTTTCGATGTACTATATTTTCCAATAGTCCCCATGGCACTTTATTGATGCGATAGTCCTCCTCTAATACCCCTTTCATTGTCCAGTTTCCCGTGTTGACGCGACGTGTCCTCCGCCTTCGTCCGAACCTGTTCCCCCGCACTTCCGGCCGGTCACCATGGTGCGGTTACCATTGCCACAACGTCTCAGCAGCCATCTGAGTACGAAAAGCAATAACCCTACTCCCGGTCAAAGTAGGAGCACAAGTCCGATGCGGATGCCAGAACAAAAGCCGTTGATCCTCAAGGTCTCCGTCATTCGGGTGAGTGAGAACGTCGCATCCACGAGCGCGCGGAGCTCTACGGAAGCTCTGACCACAGTTCCATTGATCCGCTAACCTAGGTCGCATGTACCTGTAGGGACGAGATCTTGCAGCTAAGGACCGAGGAGGGACCAGCGATCCGGTAGGTTCCCATTCCTCGAAATATAGTGATGCCAATCTGGACCGTTGTCTCTGACGAAAACTTTCTCTTCTGCAGTACTTGGTAGTCACGCTCGGAGACGCACGACAATCAACACCCACAATCCCCAAGACTTTGAATCCAGAATGGAATGTGACATTCGAGATGCCAGTGGTTGGCGTACCGCTGTTGGAGTGCATTTGTTGGGATCATGACAGATTCGGCAAAGATTACCTTGGCGAGTTCGACATACCACTGGAAGACATCTTCCAGAATGGTGACGTTCATCAGCAGGTAGGCGCCCGCTTCGTGTGGCTTAAATCATACCGAGCTGACATGTTCCTTGAAGCCGAAATGGTACACACTCAAGTCGAAGCGAAAACCGACGAAGAAGAAGGACAGTATGGTCTCTGGGGAGATTCTTCTACAATTTTCACTCCTCGACTCATCAAATCCGACCGCTTCGCCAACCGACACCTACCACAAGTTTAGAACGTTGGTGTCTTCTGGAGATGAGGAGGATGACTTCCCGCAGATCCCATCTATCACCCTGGACGATGCCGACAGAGAGGAAGAAACCTCGGATGAGACAGACGACCCTACGAAGCCTGAGGTCGTCGAGAAGAGAAGACGCAGACTACGTCTCAAGCGTTTGAAGCGCAAATCTCTTGCCGCTAGAGCATATCAGTTCTCTGGTGCTGGCAACGGAGTACAGGGTATCGTTTTCATGGAAATTGTCAAAGTGACAGACCTTCCGCCGGAACGGAATGGTGAGATGCGCCAGTTCCTATGGATTATCTTCTTTTGCTGACCCGCCACAGTGACGCGCACTTCTTTTGATATGGATCCATTCGTGGTCACATCCCTCGGCAGAAAGACACTGCGAACGCCGGTCGTGCGTCACAATCTCAACCCAATTTACAACGAGAAGATGGTCTTTCAGGTTATGAAGCACGAACAATCTTATACTATCGGTTTCACCGTCATGGACAGAGACAAGTTCTCCGGGAATGACTTTGTCGCTTCCGCTTCGTTTCCGGTCCAGACGCTCATCAAGTCCGCTCCCGAGGCCGACCCCGAAACGGGTCTATACAAATTCGTCGACCCGACTCTGGATCCCGCAGGGGCTGAGCAAGGTCATTCCAGCCGACCCTCAGAGATAAGAATTGCCATCAGCAGATCGCCTTCGGCCAATAGCTTGTCGACTTCACCCAAATTTGGAACAACACCCAGAGGTTCTTCTACCTCCTTATCAAGCCAGACACTGCTGGAACAGTCTTCGACCTTGCTACCTCCGCGGAGTATCCCTGAAGTCCCTGAGAGCAGCCAGCCCTCCACCCCAACAACGGCCGGTTTCGAAGGCGATCCGATCGGTCCGCTCGAGTCGAATGGCCTTCAAGTCTATCGGATACAATTGGCCCTGAAAAACAAAGAAAGATGGGAGGATAAACACTTTCCTGAACTATTTGTCAAGGCCAAATACATGCCGTACCGTGCACTGCGGCAGCAGTTCTGGAGACTCATGCTTAGACAGTATGATGCCGATGAGAGCGGCCGGATCGACAAAGTTGAGCTCACGACGATGCTCGACACACTTGGGTCAACCCTGAAGGAGTCTACGATCGACAGCTTCTTCGAACGGTTCAGCTTGGAGAATCAGCCCAGTGAGACTATGGATCTGACATTTGACCAGGCCGTGATATGCCTGGAAGATACGCTACAGGCTTTGCAGAAAGACCCCAGCTCACCTCCCAAGAAACTCTCCCCCACGCCGTCGACAGCTAGCCGTGAGAGTGATGAACAATCTAGTGGTGATGAACTCACCATGGAACCTGGCTCACACAACGCCAACCCCCAGACTACATCCGTACCAACGTTGCCAACTGATGAGCAGCCGAGTTCCACGGAGGAAGACCTCCTCCCAGATGACCTGGGAGATGAACGAGGTGTGGAGCACGTTATCGAACTCAGGGAATGCCCTCTCTGCCATCAACCGCGCCTTTCGTCACGCTCCGATGCCGACATTATCACACACATTGCTACCTGTGCCAGCCGGGACTGGAGACAGGTAGACAATCTCGTCATGGGTGGATTCGTAACGTCGAGCCAGGCGCAGCGCAAGTGGTACACCAAAGTGATCACCAAGATCTCTTATGGCGGGTATAAGCTGGGTGCCAACTCGGCCAACATCCTCGTTCAGGATCGAATCACTGGCCAGATCAATGAAGAGCGTATGAGTGTCTATGTCCGGCTGGGCATCCGGCTTCTATATAAGGGCCTCAAGAGCCGGGAAATGGAAAAGAAGAGAAGTAAGATTACCCACTTGCTGGTTTCAGCCTGATTCGCACATAACTGACCAAATATCACAGTCCGCAAGATTCTGAAGTCGCTCAGTATCAAACAGGGCAGGAAGTACGATGACCCGGCATCGGCCAGTCAGATTCGGGACTTCATCAACTTCCATCAACTCGATATGTCAGAGGTCTTGCTCCCAGTGGAGAAGTTCAAGACTTTTAACGAATTCTTCTACCGTGCCCTCAAGCCCGGTGCTCGCCCCTGCTCGGCCCCTGATGAGCCCGGAATCGTAGTATCGCCAGCCGATTGCCGAGCTGTTGTGTTTGACCGCATGGAGGAAGCGACCGGCATCTGGGTTAAGGGTAGAGAGTTTTCCGTTGCTCGACTTCTGGGCGACGCATATCCCGAGGATGTGCAGCGCTTCAAGAATGGGGCTCTGGGAATCTTCCGTCTCGCGCCGCAGGACTACCACCGCTTTCATATCCCTGTGGACGGTGTTTTGGGCGAGCCCAAGACTATTGAAGGTGAATATTACACGGTCAACCCAATGGCGATCCGTTCTGCGCTGGACGTCTATGGCGAAAATGTGCGGGTTCTGGTACCCATTGATTCGGTTGCTCACGGCCGTGTCATGGTGGTTTGCGTGGGAGCCATGATGGTGGGAAGTACGGTCATTACACGGCAGGCGGGAGAAAAGGTCTCCCGGGCTGAAGAGCTTGGATATTTCAAGTTTGGAGGAAGCACTCTATTGCTCCTCTTCGAAGAGGGTGCTGTGAACTTCGACAGCGACCTAGTGGACAATTCGAAGGGTCCTTTGGAAACATTGGTAAGCAACCTTCCGTTCTGATCTTCATGCGTAGTCAGTGCTAACATGCACTGTCCGTTGCAGATTCGAGTCGGCATGTCTGTGGGCCACAGCCCTGGCGTCGCTCAGTTTGAGCCCGACATGCCGAAGAAGTCAGAGGATGTCTCTCTGGAGGAGATGCAAGCCGCCAAGCGCCGAATTGAAGGCAGTCTGGCACCACCGACTGATGCGGCGGCCTTCGAGTAGGAGAGGACCAGCGCTTACCATGCATGTAGCCTTTCCGCTATTCTCTTGAGACGACTCAATTGGGGGATGATTCATTTCGGGCGTTTACCGGTACATGATCACGGCCAGGAGCCGTCATAGCGATTTGCAGCACACTTGTAAAGAATACCTACCTACCATGACGAAGCCGGACGACTCTTGGAAGGAAGCAATCATGCGGGGCTGTACACATTGATTAGATACTAGAACATACGTAATGAACATAGTTGCCAATATTAAACCTATCATTTATTACATGTCCGATATAGTAGGAAATACTGGAACACCAGACTACACAGGAGAGAAAGTGACTTTGACTGCATTTCGCGGGCCAGCGGTGTCACCCGAAACGGGACTAGCGCCGTCCCCACGCGCCACGACCAAAACAAGCGCGTGCTGCGGCAACTCGCAAGAGCCAAATCCCCCCGTCATCCCGACGCCAGAGCTTGGCCCTTCTGCGCAAGGAGCCCTGTGGGAATTTCTGCCATCATATCGTCAATCTCAATCCGCCTGTCTATCGGTCGCCCGCTGTCGCCGCGTCTTCTGAACGGGTGGTTGTACCGCGCAACCCGGCTATCGACAACACGTCCCTCGGACCGCCCACACCACCCCCCCGTTTTGCGTCCCGTCGAAAGCTACCCGTCGACTACCTGCGACCGCGCGATTCCGCATCACCCCCAAACCAGATCCAGAAATCAGAAAACACAACCGGAGGAGTCTGTCAAAAGCCCGATTGCCAATCCCAGCTACTTGTCGTTTGTGAATTGTTCCGGAAGTGGAGGGATTTGGCGGTGACGGAGAGGTCCTATCAACAACAGAAAGCGGGAGGAATTCTTCGCGGCCAGCTTCAGCTTCAAGCTACCATTCGCGCTTGATTTCTTCCCGGTAGGAAACAAAGATACTGCGCGGGGCGGAACTGTATTCAGCCCCTTTGCAGATTGATATTTACGCTCTTTACTTTTTTTCATTTGTCGCCCGCCCTTACGACCCCGCCTTTTGAGTCCCGGTCCTGACATGACCGTCACTGTTTTGGCTACCTCTACCACCAAGACGAAACGTCGCGAACCATTACTGGCCCTTGATATGGCAACGTCCCAGGCGCAGGCGCGTCCTGCCGCGCCTGGAAGAAGTTCGGGGAGGAGAACGAGCGCGCGACTGAGTTTGAACAAGCAGGATCGGAGTGAGGAGAAGTTGAGTGCTGCGGAGAAGAAACGGAAAGCTGGTGAGTGACTCTGTGCGATTGGAAGGAAGGGCGATCGCAGTGGTGTTGATTATATGATGCGCTGAGGGTAGTGGATGAATTGCTAATGCCTGGGCTTGGGTTTATAGTACCGTTTGAGGAAGATATCGAGGGGTTCCAGTTCTCGCGCATCACGACCAAGAAGGCTAGGCCATCAGAGCCTAAGACGATGCCGTCACCTGTCCCAGAAGAGCCAGCACATCCGTCACCGAGACGAGGTCGACCGCCGAAGAAGCGAGTAGAGGAGAAGAAGACGGAGATTGCGGAGGAACCGAAGAAACAGGCCGAAGGGACTGGAAAGAGGAGAACGAGAGGCGCTGCGAAAAACTCAGTAGATCCGGTCGAACCTGCGCCTGAGCCGGAACCGCAAGCACAACCAGAACCACAGCAACAACGTGCTACACGCTCAACACGAAAACATGACCAAGTCGAGACGGTGCCGTTGGAGAAGAAGCGGAGGAAAGGCAGGCCGAGTAACTCGAAGACCGATGCACTTCAGCAGCAGCAGCAGCAGCCTCAACCGCAACCGCAGCCACGCAATGGCTTTGTGTCTCCAGAGCCGCAACAGTCCGGAACTGCTACTACAATTGCGCTGCCGTTGGCGGATACGCCAGTCATTCAGCGCAACAAGGAGATGCGAGGAAAGAAATCTGTGAAAGGAGGGAATCGACGGAGCAGTCTTGGGATGAGAGGACGGAGAGCCAGCTCACTGATTGACTCGGGGGCGTCTAATGGTGGGCAAACCGTGCCATGTGTGTCTGATGGAATGCTAACAACGTTACAGCATTACCACATAAGAAGGTTGATACCGCAGATTTCTACAAGCACATCGCGGCTGATCTGCCGGAGCCTCGAAGGATGCGTCAGCTTCTAATATGGTGTGGCACGCGGGCAATGGGTGATAAGCCATCCGGGTCGCGCTCAGAGGATGAGAGCGCCCGTCTTGCCGGTACGTTCAGTAGTACGGGAGTGTATGCATAAGCTAACAAGTCCCAGCGCGCGTCATCCAGGAAGAGCTACTGAAGGAGTTCTCCAGCAACTCGGAGCTTTCCAACTGGTTTGGAAGAGAGGATGCTACCCCTCCTACTCTGGTGGTCAAGAAGGAGAACCCAAAGAACATCCAAAACGCGGAGAAGATCCAGGAACTGGAAGAACAAATACAAAGGTACGCAGAGTCGAATGTGCTGCTGCAGCTGAGAGCTAACAGTTACGTGTCAAGGCTGCAAAAAGAGCGACATGCTCTCAATGCACTCCTACGGCCAGCAGACATCCCTCGAATCAAGCCTGCACCACCCGAACAACCCGAATCCGATTCCGTCCCATCATCACAACCATCACCGCCCGAACAAATCGACCTCTCTCTATTAGAACCGTCGCAACGAAAAATCTTTGCACAAATAAACCCTGAAGCCGCCAAACAACAACCAGACGCCCAGCCCATGGAAACCGAACCAGCAGCGCCCGAACCAAACCTCTTACCCCAAATGTCTCCCTCTACCGTCTCCACCCGACTCTCTCGCATCACCAAGTCACTCGCACCGACCCTCGACTCTCTCGCGGCTGGCATCCACGACATCGACCTCTATCGCACAATGTCCGACACAGTCTCGACCCGCATCCTCCGCATCTGCGCCGAACGCCTCGACGAGCGCGATGCACGTCGTCGACTCGCGACAGCCGAATCCAACGCCGACGAAAATAACAATCGTCAAGGCCTCAGCCTCCGACCACGACCCCGAGAAGACCTTGGCTTGATTCTGGGGGCGTTGAGCCGGATAGAGCGTCGCTCGACGTAGTCCCGCTAACCCACGGGAGAATACAATCACATAGGATGACGGCTTGTTACTATACATATCCACGAAAGGGAAGGGGTGATCGGTTCATTACAATCTGTTATGTCATGTATTTGCGGACTGGGCTGTGCAGGGCAGGGCAGGGACTAGCCTTGGCGTTTGATAAATTCTAATTTCTTTCCCTTTGGTTGGGCGTTTCTTTTCTTTCTTCAGCAATGGAGTTGGGGTGTGTGTATGAATGGATGGATGGGGGAAGGGACACAATATGATAGGATAGGACAGGGCCAGTAAGGATAAATAGTATACTACTCTCACCGTACATTATCTGCATTCATTTCATCCTCCAGGTTTATACATTCACTTATCCATCCAGAAAATACTAGTTAGTAAGAAAAGTACTGAATGATCCAAACACGCAATAGCAAGGACCACCCACAACTATAGCCAAACCTGCAAGGCAGGTACATAGTAACTATACATAGTAAATAAAGTGCTGACTAGCATGCAGCACACGCACCTAATTTAGTCTAGTCCAAGCCTAGCCTAGATTAAATGCTAATCTCGAAAATGCAAACCGGTTTCTGTTTCTTTTTTATGCTTAGTTGCTAAGTTAGTTTGGTGTTTATATTTTTGTAAGATGTGCAGGATGATGATAGGCGTGATGATCTGCAGTGGCTAGACTTACGCGTCATCAGGGATGGGCGGATGGTGGTGAACTTGCAGTTTAGTATGCCAGTTGGTGAATGAATGAGAAACTTCTGGATTAGAATAATGCAAGTATTGATGGATGATTAGTACTTACTAAGGATGATGGTGATCTATTTTTAGATACTTGGTAGTATGGATCAGGTTTGATGTGGTATGTTGTAGCCTGGATTCTTCTCTTTTTCGTTGGATACGATGATGTTGTAGTGAAGGGTATAGCAGGGTGTAGTAGGAGTTGGTTGATGTAGTATGTAGTATGGTATGTGCCATTTTCTGGTATTAGCATGTGAGTGATACTTGAAGGTACTTTCTGGATGTATTTCATATATTGGATGGTTAGTCGTTGGGTTCAATTGGGTTGTGTGGGTTGGAATGTGGGATTGTTGGTTCGATGCTGGACGGTGAACGTTCATTCTACTATGACCTTCGGTGCTCTGAACCAGCTCTTCTATTTGATTGATTGTTAGATCTACCATTGTCTCTGCCATTTGATATAGAATATAGTTATATACTATCGGTTATGATTAGTAGTTCTATCAACAGGTCCAGTTAAGTTGACTTGATCATGATGATCACTACATGAAGACGACACTAAGTATATATTCTAATCCTGTCCACTCATAATCCGCGAGCCTGATATAATCTTTTCTTGACAAACCAAGCGAACATACTAGAACACTAGTACTAACTTACACTATGTGATTCTTACAACAACATTATATATAACTTAGTGGACAATAAATATCTCCAGTGTCAATGAACCTTATCTCCAGTGATAACACTAGGAGGTACATTCATACTCCATATACTAGATTAGTAATGAAGGATTGACTATCAACCACTCACTCAGCCGAGCATTCTAGTCTAATAGATAAGCCTACCATTTGCCTTCAGGAATGTCCAATGATTTCCCAAACAGTGATACCTATTTAGTAACGATCAAGTGACTGAAGATCAACCCACCTAGTATCTTCTAGAACTGCCTGACCCACTGATCAACATAGGTAATCATGAACATCCCCGTTGGGCAACAATCATTTCTGCCCCTTTTCCCCTTTAAATTCCCGAAAGGTTGTTTGGGTCGTTATCAGAGAAAGGAAAAAAAAAAAAAAAAAAGACGCGAGGCAGAGTGGGGGAGGAAGATGATCGACTAGCGGCTATGACGAAATTCCGATAGTTTCGGCTAGGTACAGTGGTTGCTGGTCTAGTAGCGTGGCTTAGTTGCTTAGGTTTCAGATTCTGCCGGTTAGATAGGGGATGAGTAGCATATACAGTGTAGAATCAGTAGTCTCAAGGTGGAGTAGTGTTTATTGTGGAGAGAGTGGATATGGTCATGTGGTTGTATCTGGTACATATACTTTGTATGGTTTAGCTGGAAGCTAGACATCGTTAGGTGACTGAGCGCGTGCATGATGCGATGTGGTGATCTTGAAAGTAGTTGCTGAAATTGATAGTTGTCACTATGTCTCATTCTTAGCTTATTTGTTGCGTGATAATAAGCAAATATTGGAAAGTTCTTGTGTGATGAAGAGTCTGACGCACGGATGTCAAAGCTTGGAGATCCAAACTTTGTGTGATTTTGATGATCTGTGTGTATGCATGTGTGTCTCTAGATGCAATCATCTCTAGCGACTCATAATGAATTGCTTCATGCTCAGGTAGCACTTGCTGCTGGCTCTGTTTTGCACTGACAAAGATCGAGTTGTACACGCTGCATATTATGCAATGTCTTGATCATCATCTGCTGAACGATACTATTAGTCAGTCGGCACATTTTTTTTTAAAAGAACTCAAAAGAGCCCAGTTAAAGCACTTGGAGATTGAATCCATGTGATGTGAAAGGTCTAGATCTGGAATAGCTATCTTCAACGACAGCTTGATTCCCCCGGAAGACTGTGAACAAGAACCTCGTGTCTGATATCAAGATTGGCCAGCTGACAGAACCATGACCGACCCGGATCTAGACGGTCACTGGACTAAGGATCGAAGGTTCAGGTATCTTGTGGAGCCAGCCAGCCAGCATGATGGTAGCTCGACGCTGGCCTGGACTGCTGAGGGTTCCAGAAATTAGCCTTTCCGGTGCTCCAGGCATCCTTGCCAAGTAGCTGGCTGTGGCAAAGCAGCACCAATGAGATTTGATGTGTGAGTCGTTGAGTCATTGATCATTGCAAATGAGGTATTTTCTTCTTGTCTGAGGCAGTTCGACTGCTGCTGTTGTGCCACGCTGATTGATTAGGTGGCTTGTTGCTGCAGCCCGCTCGCTGATGGCTAGATTCGCGCCCAGGAGAAAGACTCCGGCGAGCATTCCAGGCGATTGAGGAACATCGATCGCCCAGACAAGAATGGAAGAAGTTGTCTGACAATCAAGTAAAAGTACGTCGGACCAGGCGGTTCAACTGTCAAATAAGCTCTGCCCCACCCCTGACAAGTCCCGGAAAGAGCTGAACCAAGGAACCTTCTTGCCCGAGCCACCGGTGGCTGATCTACGGGCGCCGCCATCGATGCTCGTGGATGATACCGGGTGTCTATTCATTGTGCTACTCTGCCCTGAAGAATGTGAATGTCATTATTGCACAGATGCTCAAGCGATGGACCAGCAGCATACGTGTGCATCCGCCGGCTCGGCAGCCTTCCCTCCCCGGTGCCACACTGGGTAGGATGGACGGCCATGGTGCAATGTTGTCGCACTCCCAATTGCAGAATTAAGTATTGGTCCCTGCGTCCGTGCAGGAGTCACAGACATCCTCGGCAGCTCTTGTCGCAGTGGCACAGTTGGGAGCTGAATCGTCTGGCGTTTGGGGAACAATTTGCGTTACCGTGAAAGCTGAGGAGTTGTCCAGGATAGAGCGGGGTTCACGAGGCGTCTGCTGGAGTTACGTCAATTTCCTGTGGGCGGCTATACCTTGACTAGGCGACCACATGAAGAATTCCTATCCTGCATCACGATGAAAGGGGGTGGTGATCTAACCACCCTGGAGTACAGAAGAACTGAGCTGAGCTCAAAGAGCCCATCGTGTAACCCATAATTGTTCACTCCACTTTCCCGGGAGACTCCTTGACTTCATCTAAAGGGGAGTGATACAACCAAGCAGTGTCGGGAGTGGAATCGAGGACAGGATTGAATGCTTCAGGTACTTTGGACGATGTCGGCTTGTGCAGGCGGGGAGACGGGATTCATATTCAGTTCATCCTCAGTTTCGATAATTTAGGAATCGATTTGTCCTTACTACGCAGGGTAAAAGGTCTACCAAAGTGAATTTCTAATTATACCTTCTTCCAACTTTACTCTGCCTCGCTGCTTGATGCAGGCCAGGCAGACAGATATGGCAGTGGGGCAGTCGCATTAGCTGTGCGCATCACCGTGAAGATCATGGAGCCGGCGGATCTGTTGTGACGACGACGCAGCGAGTGAGCGATTCAGGGAATGTGGATCGGCGACATTACCACCGCCATGCCGTCTCAGAGAAAACGCCATCAGTCCAAGTAAGGAGCTGAAACGACCTTGTTTCAACGTCTCAAGTATCGCTGTTCTCATCGTGATTCGTTTGTCCTGCGAGATTCCCATTATGCCCCGGAGTTTCTTTGCTACCTGGAAGGTTTACTGTGCTCCTCGAAATCCTCATAGATAGCACCGTCAAGTAGTGTAGTATGCTACTGAGAGTCCACCGAGACTGGAGGAGATAAACAAAAGTTTTCAGCTACAGGCGACAGCTATCAGACCAAATGGAGATAACAGTAGAATGAATCCTCACCGGGTTTGCCACCTGTGCATCGGCAAGGCCTAATTGGGCGATCCGAATAGAGGAGGGAGGAACGGAAGAAAAAGTGCACGGAGCAACAACAGCCTGAGGGGGGCGACAGAACTCCCAATAAACGGGCTTAGTTCGGTGAAGATCATAACTGTCATCCCCTGAGTTGATCAGCAGGGACGGTCTTGGAAACTAGGAGGACTTGACCAAGGCAACCGTCCGTACTATCCAGTAGTAGTTTGCAGTAGTGCGCAGAGAGAAAGAGAGAGAGAGAAAAGAAAAGANAGGGATGGAAAGACAGGAAGACAGATAGAGATGAAGAAAGAAGACTAAACAATGAAGCGAAAAGGAAAACTGATGGGTGGGCCAGAGTGTACCGTACAGTGTATAGTACAGACAGGTAGGCAGTCAGTGACTAGTTTAGTGATGCATCCATCCATCCATCTCCCACACCCACTTTGGCTTTCCCTCTCCCCACCCAATCCCAACCTCACCTTCTCCTTTCCTTCTCCCCCCTCCTCTCCCTTTCTCCAATCTTTTCCATCCATCTCCCCCCTCTGACACCATCCACCCACCCATGTGATGGATTCCAAAGACCCTCCGAAGCTTCGTAATCCAGCGACTCGGCTGCACTGCCGACCCACCCACGCTTCTAAAGAAACGTCCAAGACTTGCTGTTCGCTGTGAGTCGAGAACGAAATTGATCTATCGCTATCGCCATGAACCAACGTCATTCCCGATCGACAGGCAGTTCATGCGCACAAATCAGAGTACAAAGTACACCTCCCTGCAAGTGTCTTCATCCACACCATGTTTGGCGGACCTCAAACTATCGGTCTTCAGAGTGCAACGATCGGGTAACCGACATAAATCCTGATACGAGTTGGCAAAATTGGCTCATGGCTTATGGCTTGCTCCCGGAGTAGCCGCCACGGGCTCAGCAGCCATAGATAGTCAGCCCAGCCTTTCTAGAGGGCCGGACTTTCGGTTTGGGGTCCGCGATCCGGTTCGGGCGCTAAAGTGGGTGATAAACTTGGGTTCCTTCTTCCGGACCCAGCCACGGTCCCACTCGGGCCTTTGAGAGGACCTGAAAAAAGAAAATCAAGGGAATGAGCTTGACCTGACGCGAGCAATGCATTCATCAAGCTTTTCCTGTCAATGCCGCCCGCGGTAACCCATGGATCTTCCCCTTCCCTCAATGGTTCCAGAAGGCCCAGCCCAGACCTTCCAGGCACTTCAGTTTTCCAGTCGGGCGGTGGAGTCTCCCCCGAATTGACAGGCCTCCACTCTCAAGAGACAGAAAAACAAATACCAGGAGATTTATGTATTCGGTACACAGGAAACACAAATAAAATCAACATTGACATCCATCACCACATAGACACTTTATGTGGATCATGCCGAGTAAGCAAGCATGAAATCAAGAATTGCAACAAAAAACAACGAAATCAATAGAAAGAGGCACTATCACCAACTTCTGTCCGGCAACAAGCCCAACACCACAGAACTACCACCACCACCAATAAGCCCTCGGAAGAATGGAAACAACAACCAGAATTTCAAGCACTCTGACGGACTGCTACGGGTTCTGTGTTTCCAGTGGCTTCCTGCTGCGATCCCTTTATCCGGCCCCCGTCTAGGTCAAGGTGACTTCCCCCTTAGGCCAAGTGGTACCGCATCGTGGAGCCCGTGGGACCGGTTCCGTCGATAATGCTGCCCGCATCTTAGATAGTAGGAGTAAGAAAAAAAAAAAGGAAAAAAATCTCACTGCTCGCTGACCGATGTCTGAGCGCCACTTCATTATACTGGTGGTTAGGTGTCCACTATTCTCCTCCTGCCCTCCTGGTCGTGCTCATGAAGCAGCTTGGGTTGAAAGCCATGTGTCTCCATGGGCTCAGCTGGTGAGCACTAGTAGCTCTTCAGACACATACAACCCAGTGTATCTTATTCGAAACCTGCTGAAAGATGAGTGGGCATTTGACTTTGGATTATTTATAAGTTAAGACCTCGTCCGTGTCTAGCCCTCTGGGGGTGTCTGTGATCCATCCACTCAGATTCGTCACGGTTTCAACTCTTCCGGCCAAGGCAGTGATTCGACTACTCCAGGTGGCAACCACGCCTTGGGCACCCGAAGCAGCGTCTGATACAAAACTTCCCCTTCCCCCTACTCTCTTTGAGATCACCATCCCCTGCCCTGCCACCCCCGATGTCAGGCACAGACGCCCCGATCTTTTAAACCCGAATTGTCAATTCCTTTTTCATATTATTCCGCGAACTCTCGTCTGCTACACAAAGCCAAGGATAGATCGCGCACATCCACTCTTTTCATATGACCATCGTGGTGCTTGGAGCTCCGTGATTGGTCCTGTCTGTCTCTAACCCGTGTTCACATTTCCCAGATTCGGCTGCTTTCGTCCAGCGGAGCACTTCTCTTGAGCTCGTTCTCTTATCTCTCTCTCTCCATCATCACCTGCCGGCTCCCTACATCCTCGTCTCTCAGATAGGAGACCGAGTATAAGCTCCCCTCCTTCTCGCAACCTCCCTCCCTCCGTGTCCCTCCCCGCTCCTCTTCCCTCCTATCCGACAGAGGAATTCTTTCTTTTTCAAGTTGTATCAACATCGGGTTATGTATCAGTGACGTACTTTCATTCCTTGTGGCGGGCCCTTTATCCCTTTCAACCTACCTCTGTGACTCCTCTGTCTTCCGAGTTCACGCCTGTGAAAAGAAAAAGAAAATATCACCATTCTTATCTGTGTCTGTCATTCCTTGACCTTGGCTTAAAAATTTGTGAGGTGCGTTTTGGGACTGGCCACATCTCATGATACTGATGCAGGTTACATATTGACGCGGTTGCTAGGCTGCTGGAACAAGTTTCGCACATCAAGACCCCTTGAACAACGTTAGGCTCAAAACTCGAGTGTTCTCCCTCTTCTTACCGTGTTGAGTTTGTTCAGGGATTTCTAAGAAGTTTGGAAGGGAGAAAAGAAAGATTAAAAAAACAGCTATCATATCTGGGCGAGAACATACGCAGAGGTAACACAAAACGGACTGCAGATTCCGTGAGTTGAGACCAAGCTTCCGCCAGTCACGTAAAGCAATCAAGAATGGCTGGCGGCTATTTTGATCTGCCCATCTCCTCCTCCTCCAGGCGTTCGAGCCTTACTGATGTATCTGGAGGAGCAAGCAGATCATCCCCAGGGCCGCGTGTCCTGACCCCCCTACCGACCCCCAATGAGAGCCTACAGGAGAGGTTGCCGGACCCAAGCGGAGCTCAGGGCAGGTTGAGGAATGCAGCAATCCCCAGGAGCGCGAATCGGGTCAAGTTCACGGTCAGCGAGGCTGGTCTTGGCACCAGTCCCTCTGGGTCGACGTCAGTGACCCGGTTTGCTGGAAGGGGCTCGTCACTACCGCAAAGACCATTGCCCACTGCCAGCATTCCATCAGCAGTTAAGGCTTCCCCTGACCCCCAATCAGTGCCTTTGGTCGATATCAGCCCCAGTTCACCAGTAGGTGTCACGGGCCTAACGGTCCACTCAGCATCCAGTTCCACGGGTGCCACTGGCGATGATGATGAAGTCAGTAATGAGAAGGGGAGGGCGATTTATTCAGCACAAGAGAGAGCCCAGCGGCTGGCATCCGTGCTGCACCAATCCTCTAAAACTCCGAAGACCAGTCCTTGGCCTAGTCGACCGTCCTCCATCGCATCTACTCCTTCAGAGGCGGCGCTACCCTTTGAGGATGGAGATGAGATTCCCATGATAAGTCTTTCCGAAAAGCAATTTGGCGATTTTTCAGACGACGATGACCTGGGCCCATTGAACGGCCGACAATCGATCCGAACTTCTCAAGCCCACCAACTAGTCAGACAAATGACTCGAAACGATTTTGATTTTTTGAGCCGGCTCCAAGCCCCCTCGGTAGGGCTGGAGTCCGGACAAGTCACTCCCATTGAAGAAAGGGACTCTGACGCCTATGTCGAACGACCGACGCACTACCGCGGCGGCATCCTCTCCTCTTTACTCAAACTTTACGATCAACCCGGTGGCCACTATTCGCGGGGCCGGAATGCCAGCTTGCGCCGGAGCAGCACGGGAGAGTTCAGTGGTCGAGGGTTATCCCCGGACCCTACCTGGAAGTCTCAACGGCCCAGGAAGTGGTATGAAAAATCCCCCAACCAGTCGAGCACTTCGCTGGCTGGCTCAACGGCCAAGAATTCTACGACCTCTCCAATTGCGATGCTTAAGCGCTCGCGTAGCAGTGGAGCCATTCCAAACGTACCAAAGCGGATGGGCAAGCCGCAGCTCGAGGATGAAATTCGTATCACGGTCCAGATAGCCGAGCTTCTCTCCCGACAGGGATATCTCATCCGGCTTTGCCGGGCTTTGATGAAGTACGGTGCTCCCACCCACCGACTAGAGGAATATATGAAGATGACTGCCCGCGTCTTGGAAGTTGATGGCCAATTTCTCTACATACCTGGCTGCATGATCATCTCCTTTGACGATGCTTCTACCCACACCACCGAGGTCAGATTAGTCCGAAGCCCCCAAGGGGTTGATCTGGGCCGACTCTGCGATGTGCATCTCATTTACAAGGAGGTGATTCACGGCGTGATTGGGGTCGAAGAGGCCATTCAACGGCTGGACGAGATCCTGAAGCAGAAGAACAAGTACCCGGTACCAGTTGTTATTCTTATCTATGGATGTGCCAGCGCCTGCGTCGGTCCTTTCGCATTCAACGCACGACCCATCGATATGCCGATTGCCTTCTTGCTCGGATGTCTTCTGGGGACCCTTCAACTCGTACTTTCGCCGCGTTCCAATCTTTACGCCAATGTCTTTGAGATCTCCGCAGCAGTCCTAACCTCGTTCTTGGCCCGGGCTTTTGGCAGCATTCGCTATGGAGATGGGCGGCTCTTCTGCTTTTCTGCTTTGGCTCAATCTTCGATTGCACTGATCCTGCCTGGATACATGGTGTTGTGCGCCAGTCTGGAGTTGCAGTCGCGCAGTATTGTTGCCGGATCTGTCCGCATGGTCTACGCTATCATCTACTCCCTCTTCCTCGGGTTCGGCATCACTATCGGAACCGCAGTGTACGGACTATTAGATGGTGATGCCTCCTCGGACTATACATGTCCGCCAAGTCCCATCACCAATGAATATCTCCAGCATTTTCCCTTTGCGATCCTCTTCACCTTCTGCCTCGCAGTCATCAACCAAGCGAAGTGGAAGCAGATTCCTATGATGTTGATTATCTCATTTGCGGGATACGTGACGAATTACTTTGGCACCAAGCGGTTTTATTCGAGCACTCAGATATCCAATGCATTGGGCGCGTTCGTCATCGGGGTCATGGGGAACCTTTACAGTCGGCTACGACACGGCTTCGCGGCCGCTGCGATGTTGCCCGCCATCTTTGTTCTGGTTCCGTCTGGTCTTGCTGCTAGTGGGTCACTCATTTCGGGCATTGCGGCAGCGGAACAAATCACTACGTCGACGTCTCCTTTCGCAGTTGTCTCTAACGGGACACAAGGCTTCGTGGATGCGGCAAAGAATCTATCGAGCCCGGACTTTGACCGCGAGTTCCACGGCGTGGTTCTCGACATCGGTTATGGAATGATCCAGGTAGCAGTCGGCTTCACGGTGGGCCTGTTCCTGGCTGCCTTGGTTGTTTATCCGCTCGGAAAGAAGCGAAGTGGACTTTTCAGCTTTTAGATAACTTGCCTCGATTGTCTCTTCTTTCCTTACACTTGCAACTTGACTGTCTTCTGTGTTATTTTTGACGAAGCGAATTGTCGTGTTATTCAGCGTGATTTATCTCCATCCTTTCACTTGATCTGTGTTTCTTTTTGGTGTCAGTGTCCTTCTCTTCTCGGGTTTTCCTTTCTTG